ATATTTTTTTGTTATCATACGATGTAAGTACAATAATATAATACGTGACACTTCACGGTAGGCTCTTTCTACGGGCACGTCCTGATGTCGAATTCGAAAACGCTTCAACCATATTATTAACATATTTATTCCAAAAGGTATGACCAATATCGACGCGTGCCCAAGAGTCAACTGTGTGCACAATATAATATACTACGCGCACATACACGACCGTTAAATCGTCATAGTAGGTATAATAATATAACCATCACGAGAAATATCGTACGAGTTAAATATTCGCAAAAAAATGATCAGAACACCAGTCGCAAGAAGCCGTATGAGTTATAAACTCATGCGCGCACCCCGTGATAACACGCGTCGGTGGCATKGACTGACTGATCGGAGAAAATAATAATCTAATAATGCCCATAATAATGGTAATAATTCTAATAATAATACTAATAATAAATAGTAATGATAAAAACACACTCGCAAGCATCACACGCAAAAAGCAAATAATAATTTAAAAAAGAAATGTCTCCCATCGAGTGACGGGGCTCATTCTCGCGTGATTCAAGCCATCACGTAACCGACGTGCATTAATAACGGTGGGCAACAATAAAAATATTTCATTCACCTTATTGTCGCTTAATAGTCGTGTTGCGGTATTGGCGGTAGTGTTTTGTGGTTGTGGTCAGCGAGCAAAGCCGCCCACGTGTGATATTAAATATTATTAATTTATTATGATATGGGGTGAACCAACAAGTATTTTTTTATGTTATCTGTTTTGGGCAGGTATTTATTATTATTTACACTGAAAATAACTGTCTATATTGTTATCCATTTAGGTACCTAATCTTTATTGATTAAGATGACATCGTACCCTCATGTTTTATATCCGTTTTACCAACGAATAAAATAATACATTTTTAAGTTCAGAAGACGTTATGTTATTTTTAATATTTTAATGAAATTGTTAAATTTTCAAATTAAAAGGAAATAATATAAATAGGGACTCACCTAGATTGTCTGTAATATTTTACTTTAAAAACAAGTACAATAGGCAAATTTTTGTTAACTTTGAAATGCTCATAATTTAATTTTTAATTAAAATATCAAACAAATCCTAAGTTAAACCTAGGATAATATTCTTAACCTTAAATATAGTGATAAGACAATTCACTCTAGTATTAAAAATAACAGAGCAAAATGAATCTTCTGTTATATGTTGGGTAAGATAGAATATATGCGAAAATGATTTTTTTTTATTGGTTATTGAATATCAGTGCGATATTTTCTACTGTTAAATTATATAAATATAGAAACTATATTTTACAATTTTCGGTTATCAACAAATTAAGAATATCACTGCTAGAGAACTCTATCCTAATTATAAAATATAAAGTTACTATGATTATTATTTAAGTACGTTTTAAACCAAAACATCTGCCGCATTAATGGAACCCGTGGTAGCAACCTTCGTATTCTTCCTCCACCTACAGAACCACCACCTCTGCTTCCATAGTTACCATCATCATCATAATAATCTGTATAATTGTAGAAACCACCGTTATCATGGTTACTTTCATAGTAATTTTCACTGTCTTGATCACCATCACCAATATCGTTGATGATTTCACGGATAACTACACCTCTAACGTGGCGGCCATCACCACGACCACGGACCTCACTATTTCTAACATATACATCACTAATATCACGTATATTATTAGTAATGTATCCACCATCACTGCCACGGAAGCTACTTCTACCACGGACAACATTATCATTACGAATGCTGTTATTTGCATAGACATCATTTCTACAGGCTATGCCACCATATTCATAACCACCAAATATGGCAGTATGACTAATGCCACTATCAGCGTGGTCGTACAAGTTTCTATGGGGCCTACCACTATTAAAGTTGTTAATATTACTGTCATTTTCATGATCACTTATTTGGAAGTTAAGCGTATCCCTGACTGTTTCTGTATCTGATATTTCTCTGGTCTGCCTGCTAACAATGGCACTTGAAGTAACTTGATTTGAATCTCTTGATTCGAAGTAGCTATCACAGCTACTGTGCCTGTTATTTCTAATACGGTTGCGACCTCTATTGTACCCACCCCTCCTACCAGGGGGGTCATCACTATTACTTACTTCGTCACTAAAACGAACTCTTAAACCACTTCTACTTCTACTATGGCGAATAATACTACTATTCACACTAGCTGCATTACCACTAGAATAATTATTACCGTTATTTAAAGGAATCATGCTAGAATTAGCACGACCATCAGAACCTGCGCTACTAGAGCGCCCTTCACCCCTACCTCTACTTGATCCGTGATTTACCCTACTAGGGCGAACGACTCCTCTATTCGCATTAATACTAAACATACTATCGCGACCATCTCCGTTAACTCTGTTCTCATAATTATCTGCGCTATTACCCCCAGAGTTTTTAGCGCCCCTACCCCTAACAGCGAGAGTATTACTTACTCTATTGTCTCGTCCATCAACACTACCTCCGATTTCACCGGAATCATCACTATTTGCAATATCACCACCTTGAATATTATCCATAATTAAAAGGCCATCAACAATATTTCTATCGTGATAACCACGACTATCAACACTAGCATCATCATTTCGCATATTTTTTCTCCTATGGCAAATAAAACAACAGCAACCAAAAATGGAGCTATTAAAGCTATAATACCTTTGGTTACTCCCACCACCACCAACACTACCGCCATGATTGCTTTGACCATTATTACTATCAAGACTATTGCTCCTACGCCGAATAGGTATTGTACTCACTTTGGGTTTGATCTCTTTGCGTGCAGTATTCGGGTTCACATACAACGACTCCGTGCGCTTGGGTTGCCCGATAGGTGATGGAACAATCTCTTGCCCGAGGTTCCGTTGTCTGAGTATGATATCCTCGAACGGCGGCGGTTGACGCTGCGTGGCGGACGATAACGAGGTATTTTGCTTTGCTCCGGCTGCCGACGCTGCAGTGAAGCCTGAAGCACCATTGAATGATTTGTCCGCTGCCGAAGACGATGGGGATAGAAGTCGATCGTCTCCTCCTCTTCTCTGTTGCTGCTGATTCTGTGACTTTTCCACAGATGACTGTCTCGACCCTCCACTGAGTCGACTAGCTGCCCGACTGTACCGGTCCACACTATTATCCCGGCTCGGTGGTCTCTTGTAATGGTCAAAGTGGTCGCTCATTGCCTGACAAAATACAACCATCATCACAAAAATTGACTGTTAAATGTTTATTTTTTATGCAACAATAGTTATATAAAGGTATATGGATGTCAATAAAGAGAAATTTTGTAAAAACATTGTAGGTTGCAATACATATCATTGTGTTATTATATACAACAATGTAATATATTACAAAAATACACATTGTTGTAAAATCAATACAATCCTTGCTCCGTTCAAAATCTAAAATTTAAAAAAAATATATTATAAGAAGTTAGAGGTATAATTTTTTTTTAACCATACCTACAGTCTTGTATATTTTTAATTTTTTATTAGTATCTTATACATCAAAATATAATATCTTATAAACGCTTGAAGAGTGATAGGTGTTACATACCTATAGATACATTGTAACACATTAACTGATTAGAATTAATGAATAAATTAAAACCTTTAATTGTTGTTATTGGTCGTTAAATTTTGTCACGATAAGTAAAAATAATTCATTATTTTAGGTTAGGTGCGATAATTTTCAGATCGCTTAATGTTATTGTAGGTATATGTTACCAATATTACGATTATGTACCTAACAGCTAGGGTATATAATATAACTATGGGAAATAATCAAATTCTTTTGAAACAACGAAGAACTATTTTATAGAAGCCATTGCGTGTTTGACATTACCTGCAGTTACCACCGAAAGAACTAGAAAGTTAGTTAAAACAGACTTTAATATCATGCAAATTGCAACTAATATAAAATTACAAAATAGCACTAACAAAATAATAATAGTAGGTACTTATTATATTTATTTTTAATTCAAAATTAAAATTACGAAAATAAATTGTAGAAACACTGCCATTTCGGTGAATATTGTTCAATAAACCTTGGAGAAATTTATTCACTGTGAAATATATATATAAACAAACAATGAAACCTCATAAATTTTAGTTCAAATTACGTACACTTTGATGACGGGTTTCCATAGAATATCGAAGTGTATTATGTGAATTACCACAATCTACTGTCGGAGCGTCATAACGAGAACATTGTTTATGCCGACTTTGGTAACCAGCTTAACTAATTACAAAAGTCACATGAGTAGGTACTGCGAATAAGCACGAAATAGGTAGATATTAGCAAAATAACCTAAATAACCGTCTAGGTATAAAATATATATCATTGTATACATTGAAGGCGACGTCTTAGATGATATCTTACCTCGATGCACATTATTACCCCCGAACACTCAGCAGTCTTGTACCTATATAGAAGATACTTTTTATTTTTTTATATATTCAACTACAAGATTCAGTTACTTCTTTTGAAAAGTATATAAAATTTGTATATGAATAATTAGTACCTACAAAAAGATAATTTATTATTTCTACATTATAAAATATTATTTTTGCTTTAAAAATCAACTGAACTGATTTTCATGTTTTGCATTAATCTTATAGAACATTTTAAACCATATTATTGGGAGTACCTATTTTAAAATATTTATCTATTTACTTTGTTGAAGAATTTTAGTTTTTGGCTGAGTATAATAATTCACAGAAAAAATTGAATTACTATTTAAATTCTCAGTTTTACTTTTATTTTACGTAATCAAAATTTAGATATAAGAATATAAGATGAAAAAAGTATGTATTTGAAAATTATGTTTATTCGATTTTAAATACAGATACCTAAGTACTTTGAGCAAGTATTTAGTAAAATTACTTTGTTTAAGTACTATTTCAAAAGTAGGTCAACATTAAATACGTGTTTGAGTACTTAAAAAGTATTTACAAGACATCCTCCGAAAAATCGAAACTGTAAACAGGTTTTAGATAACATTCGTTGATATTGAGTTTAATACACAATCGGTATAGGAAATGCGAAATAAAAATATATACATATATATATATATATATGTATATTATAGTGGTACTAGTTGTCACTTGCATACTGCAGTACATCTTTCACATAGAAGTATTGACAAATTGCAAAAGTATAATATTGACTGTCGTCCACTTGAAAATACCTAAGCTATAACGATTATATATTTATATACCTAATTTGACATTGAATTTTAATTATAAAAACATGTCTGAAATGTTATTTGAAATATTGTACATTAATATTTATTAAACTGTATTTGGAAAAGTAATTTGTGAACAAGTCAATAGTAAAATTCAAATAACAATAGTTTACTTGAAATAATTAAATTGGTGTATATGGTTTTACTGTTATTAAAAGTTCTAAAATACTGTAATATTGAACAGTAAATTTAATCGAATTAAATATAATATTATATTATGTATTATTTAATTTGAAGAAGGATATTCGAAATTGATTTAACTTCATACGATATGAAAAATAGTACTTCCTCTATTCACTCCCACCAACAAGCTCCTGTTAAAGTGTTAAATATTATATAATTTTAAATTATTATCTGAATTAATTATTTCTCAAATCTATAATAAGTAAACAACATATTACTGTGTATTTAAGTAATAAGTCTATAGCAGTTGTTGTAACTAGTTACAAGTACTCGTGACAGAATATATGAGATGGATGTATTAGTATTATGTTTACATCATCCAATGGTATTGTACTTTGGTGGTAACATGAATGTCGYTTGGAATTTTAAACTATTTATTGGATAATATTATTCTGGTGGTTGCAGGAGTCATTAGGATTCCTAATTTTATTAATTACAAGTTGCGTACAACTTCCTATATGATTATTATATAATTTATAGTTATTTCTCTGCACGTGTCAATTATACGACTGTAAGACATTATATAATATCATGCAGGTAAACAGGGACCTAAAAATTAGAAGTAAAACACATTGTTTAGAAAATAACTTGTATTGTTTGCTGGATTCTTTTTTTTCTTTTTTTTTTTTTGATTTGGATTGTTTTCATTTTAACTTCTCATATAAAATGAAAACTACAAAAATGTTAGGACAACATGTTATAACGTCATAACTACCTACATATCTCAAAATCGATAAATTGTGTTCTAGACTCCTTCCCAAAAGTCAACGCATAATATAATTTATTTACGCCTATGGTATAGAATTTTGGAAAAGTTAATGGTAGACTTTCAGACTTTTGATGGGATGAAATATTTTATCGGTACCTAGGTATCGAGAATCAAGAAGATTAAATATTAAATAGTATACAAACGAATCGTGTTAATCAATTCTATCTTTGTCCAGTGGACCGCTTTAAAAATAAACTTACAAGTTTATTTTTTTGTTTAACTTGCCGATTTTCTATAATAATTATAAATAAATTACTGATAAACGGTAACAAATTATGTTGCCCACTACTAAGACATTAACCATGAAAATAATTACCTATGCTCTCATACAAAACAATTTATATTAAGAGTATTGCGTGTGCTGTAATAAAATAAAAATTATCAAAACACTTAATTTTGCATAATAAAGTTTAACATATTTTTAGAATTACTAAAAAGATTGCTTGGACTGGTTGGATCATTAAAGTTCAAAGATGCCCAAAACGATTCAAAATGGCATTTCGCATTAAATCAATCAAGAAATTCGCATCAMAATTATTATAAAAAACAATTATTGTCAGATGCATGATTCAAGACCCACGAGACGTTGACAAACACGTGATTTGTGGTTATCGTAAATGATGTTATTATATTATATTATTTTTGTTTTCTTTGGATAAAACTATTCAGGCGGTATAGAAAGCTTAGAATCCAAATATTGATAAACAATATAGTATTGAGAAAATTATCTGCAAAATATCGTTTTTATTTCATTTTTTTTTTTTTTTTTTTGGTTTCACTTATACGAAAATAGTTCTTATTGTTTGAGAATCCATAATTTTTTTGTTTTCCAAGCAAGCTTAAATAACTTCCTGTATAAACAGTTCCAATATCGAAAAAATAAACGAAAGCTACATTAATTCACGGCTAAAATCCTCTGTATCCTTCTCGGTTCTTTCCTACTTAAAGCAGGTCTTGCTTTTTTATAAATTTCATTAAACGAAGACAACACAATATTATGCGGGTAGGTAGTGTTCTCTTAACCCAGTGGTTCTTAATCGGTGTTCTGTAGACTTGGTATAAGCGCTCGGCCAAAGTCTTAAAATTAGCGGAAAAAAATCCCTAAAATGAGTTTCATTGTTTTAGCGATTTTATCTTTTATGGACTTCTGAAACATAAAAATATAAGACGTGAATAATAAATTGTATAGAATTTAACAACAATATAACGACTACTTTAATAACAAAATGGACAATTAATGTCTAAACAAAAACATAATATTGAAGCTGATGTGCATGTACAAGTATAAAAAAATATCATCGATGAAACGAAATAATGTAGTTAGTAGACAATATTTTAATGATTATTTACATTTTGACTCACTTATGAAAATGACCGTCAAATTTCCTTTTGCGTGATTTGTGGGGAAAAGCTACCACAATGACATCAGCGAAATTAAAACAGTATTTTTTTATCTTAATATCAAAATTCTCTAATTTTTTTTTTTTAATTTCTTTATTTTCAAAATTTATTTAAATATTGTTGCATTTTACAGCTGTGTTCTGCAAAAATCTTTTAAAATTTTTAGTGGTACGTCATTCGAATAAGGTTAGGAATCACTATCTTACCGGACAATAACGAATTTTTGGTATGCACAACGCACTCTAGTTATCAAGTTTGAAATCAGAGTTGTGTTAAACCAAGTAATATCGGATGTAGACGAGAAAATATTATTCGAGACTTAACTAACGGACGTTATCAATTTTTTTTTTTTGTTTCCGTTTATTTGAATAATTGAAAAATCGAATAGAAACGATTTGGAGGAGTCACCTGGGAAAACACTCACCCTATTTGGTTAAATGTTAAAGGTAGACGATCTCCTGTAAAGTATTTTACTTATTTTACTTGTTAAAATAATAATATGTTTCAAGTGAACAAATACTTTTGACGGATGTACCTTCTTGAAATGCATCTCATCAACGATTTTTGAATGACAGTTTGTTTAT